CACACACACACACACACACACACACACACACACACTGTATCCCCCAAAATAAGACCTCCCCAGATAATAAACCCAATTGGGCTTTTGAGCACATGCGCAAAAATAAGCCCTCCCCCAAAAAATAAGCCCTCCCCGAAAATATTGCAACACAGCAGCAGCCATGAGGAGAAGACGCTCGCCGCCTCCCGCACCTCAAAAATAATAAGACCTCCCCAAAAATAAGGCCAATACTTACTTTGAGGGTCAAAAGAAAATAAGACCCTGTCTTATTTTTGGGGAAACGTGGTAATAAAAAATAAAAGAAGATTGAGTGAATAAACTGACTATTTTGCATGACCTTGTTCACAATTTCTTTCAGAAGACAGCGGCGAGAACATCTTACCTCAAAAGTATATTTGAAAACACAAAAAAGTGAGTCCATTCTCTTTCTGGCATTCATTAAAGGGAAAATATTTGACATTACAAAACCTAAATGCCCTTAAATCCGGGATGGCGAACCTATGGCACGCGGAACCATTTGTCAGGGCACGCGAGGCATTGCCCTGTCAGCTTTTTTGAGGCGATTTTTCGCTAAGTGACTTCCGGTTTGCTCGTAGGGTCATCTTTCGTCCTCCAGAGCCTTCAGGGAAGCCTCTCGAAGGCTTAAACTGGCCCTACAAGCAAGCCGGAAGTCCGTTCCTCAACTTCCTGTTTGCCCGTAGGGCCGTTTTTTTGGGTTCTGGAGGCTTCAGGGAAGCTCCGGAGGGCTTCTGGTGGGGGGGGGGAGGCTGTTTTTGCCCTCCCCAGGCTCCTATAAAGCCTCTGGAGCCTGGAAAGGGCGAAAAAAGCATGCAAAAAATGGCAATCGCACCTTTCATCCGTGCATGTGCGCTGGGGGTTGTGCATTGCATTATGGGCATGGCACGCCTGCATATGACCCCCCTGCGCTCCCCCCACTTTTGGCACGCGAGCCAAAAAAGGTCCGCCATCACTGCCTTAAATGGATCCGTTGTCCACAGTTCTCAAAACTCCATTATGACATGGCATCCCCAATGCACCACAATATTCTCTTGGGAGGGATTCAGAAAATTTCATTCCTCAGCATCTTCCAACGTCCATCAATCAGCCGCCTCAAGGGGCTGTCCGAGGAGTTTGATGTGCCTCTCCTCTTTTGGATCTGATCTGTTTTTCATCCTGACTTTTCCCATCCTCCGTTCTTATTCTCTACCGATCACTTCAACTGGTTATTTGATTAGTGCTCATTCACATCGGAGGTATTATTCAGCGAGTATTAGAGTTTCCCTGAAGCCTCCGGAGCGCGAAAAACCGGCCCTATGGGCAACCCGGAATTTCGGGAACAGGCTTCCGGTTTGCTCATAGGGCCAGTTTTAGCCTTCCGGAGCCTTCCGGGGCCTTCAGGAGGCTTCACAGAAGGCTCCGGAGGGCAAAAAACGACCATACAAGCAACCCGGAAGTGACTCCGGTTTGTCCATAGGGCCATTTTTCATCCTCCGTAGCCTTCAGGGAAGCCTCCTGAGGCCTCTTGAACACTCTGGAGGACTAAAACCAGTTCTACAAGCAAACCAGAAGTCCATTCATGAAGTTCCAGTTTGCCCGTAGGGCCGGTTTTTTCGCGCCTCTGGAGGGTGAAAAATGGCCTCAAAAGAAGGCCAAAGTTAGCTGGCCAGCGCGCGCATGTGCTGTGGCCAGCTGACAGGGCAATGCCTCACTTGCCCTGACAAATGGCTGTGCGTGCCACCTGTGGCACGCGTGCCATAGGTTCGCCATCCTGGGCTTGGGGGGATTTGGAACTCTTCTTGACCTGCGGGATTAAACAGTGCTATTTTATATGCACATGGAACATGGGTCCAAAAGACTTACCCCAAACGTTTGTACATTTTACATTTCAGTAGTTTAAATGACGCTCTTAAAATATGTGTCTTTTTTGTGGGTTTGTTTCTGTTTTCATCGAGGGAGAGTCAGGAAGGAGACTTAAAGAAGGGCAAACGGAAAAAGGGCTTATTCTGAAGAAACACCTGGATTTCAGTGTACGAGGTTTTTTTTTAAAAGCTAGAAATGGATAGCATCAGTATAGTCTGATGAGAAAGAAGTAGATGCGCCATTCCAGTTGATTGAAAACAGAATACAGAATAAGAGAGTTGGAAGGGACCTTGGAGGTCTTCTAGTCCGACCCCCTGATCGAGCAAGAGACCCTTTACCATTCTGGTCTACCTGATGATTCTTCTTCCCCTCCTCCTCCTCCTCCTCCTCCT